AGTCTCGAGGTCCGACACTGGACGAGTTCAAATGTGCCAGAATAACTGTAAAATACAAATAAATGTAGAAAATTACAAAGATGGTCTCGATTTAGTCTCGATGGGCTGTGGTCTCGGTCTCGATCCTCAGAGGTCTTGGTTTTGTCCTGGTCTCGGTACCCTGTGGTCTTGGACAGGTTTTGGTCTTGACTACAACACTACATCTCGGTTTGTCGTTACGCCACGGACACAAACATGATCCAAACTGTATTATCATTCCGATGATAATTGCGCAGAAGCTGGAGAATTCTCTCATCGCACTTCACGTCTGTCGGCTGAGGAGGAGAAGGGAAGAGTGTCGGAGAAAGGAGGAAGAAAACAAACTGAGTCGACGGCTGCTCTACCTCAGCCCACTCCCACATCCCGCTCACAAATCCAAAGAGACGAGGATGAAAGTCCGAAGCCAGGACTGGTGGAGCCGGATCGTCCGGATCGCGTCAGAAGGGCAACCCAACGAGCATGAACTGAACAACCAGAATTATTTTTAAGAAGAATAAACGTTCACATGATCAAGGAATAAATTAATTTGGCTTTAAAATCAGAATAACCCACCCACTTACCGTGTTTTCCGGGCTATTAGTCGCTCTGGATTATAAGATGCACTGTCATTAAATGGTCTATTTTCTAACTTTTTCACAAATAAACTGCACTGGACTCAAAACACAACAGTGTGATGGGTGAGTGGTTTTGTTTGTTTGTTCGTTCACGGTGACTCTGGGCTTTGTTCAGTTGTGGCGTGTAGGGAGGGTGTGTCTGGGATCGCTGGATTGTCGGCGTGTTCGCAGTGACTCAGTTGTTCAGTCGTGTCTAGAAGCGGCACGTTGCACTCGATTTTTCGGTTCGTTCCTCCGTTCCGTTCCTCGTCAGCGTGGAGTGATGAGTGTGTCTGTGTGTGTTTTTTTCGCTGTGCGGTCGCTGTCTGCTCCATGTGTGTTTTTGCGTGTGTGTTTGCGGCTTTGTAGTTTACTGAAGTCGTACTGGGACGCCCGAGTGGATTCGTGTACGGGGCGCTCTGGATTGTGGCGCGCGGTCGTTTTTTGATGCGTTTAGAGGCTTAAGAGCGCGTCTGATAGCCCAGAAAATATGGTACTTTGGAATTATGTTCCGAATAATAATTTTTATTAGGATTTAAGTGTTTACATGGTCTTTTTAAAGCAGAATTCAATTATTATTCAGAATTAAAGCTCTCATGTAAACGTGGTGATTCTGTCATCAGTAAACTCCACGTCAAAACCGTCATGTGAGCGACGGTCTTTACATGAAATCCTGCTTTGCTGCTTCAGATGTTAAATATTCTCTTGTGTTTAAAGTAGTGCTGTCATGTGATTAAAAAAATTGAGAAATTAATTAATTATGATCTGTAATTAATTAATCTAATCTCATTTTAATCTCACCTAAAAATTGCTGAGAAAAGCTTCAATTTGAGGTATTTTCATTTAAATTCATTATTACATTATTGTGGCAGATCAAAAGACTGATATAGAACAAAAAAGTGACTTTATAAAGTCATTTATTGTTTAACAAATCTCTCCAAATTGTCTGTTGAGCCCAAGTCTCCATGAATAAGAAACTGTTTGCTGTAAAGCAGCAAAGACGAGGAAATCTGAACATAATAACTTTTGTCTACTTAAAAACAATAAAAAGTCCAGTCTTTCCTTAACCATATTAAAAATATTATTGATAGAGAAATGCTTTATATATGAGATCACTGGTTTTAGTCCTTGTTTTAGTCCTGCTTTAGACCTGCTTTAGTCCTACTTTAGTCCTAGTTTAGTCCTGGAATGGATTAATCCTGGTTTTAGTCCATGTGTTAGTTCTGGTTTAGTCCTGGTTTAGACCTGGTTTTAGTTCTGGTTTTAGTTCTGGTTTTAGTTCTGGTTTTAGTTCTGGTTTAGTCCTGGTTTAGTCCTGGACTGGTTTAGTCCTGGTTTAGTCCTGGACTGGTTTAGTCCTGGTTTTAGTCTTGGTGTTAGTTCTGGTTTAGAAGCTCACTAAGAGGCTCTTCGACCTCGTCCATTGTGCGACTGACGCCGCCAACGTTAACATGACGTTTACATCGCTCTTACTGCGCGCGTTTTGTGTGGGTTTCCGGCAATGAGTGGAATTACCGAAATAAAAAAAAATTATAAATGTGTTTTTTGTGTGTGTGTGTTGTTGTCCCAACAACACATAAAAACAGGTTTTGTAATAAAGCAACTCGCATACAGAAACACTAAAGTTAGAGATTAAAAATGAGATTAACGCGATTAAAAAACGCGCTAAATATGACTGTAATTAATTAATCGCAATTAACGCGATAATTTGACACCCCTAGTTTAAAGTAAATCAGATTTAATTTCATAGGGTTGTGCAGGTTTATGTTCAAGCGCAAATAAGTGAAATGTGAGTCTCCAGATGGCGTTGTGAACAAAGTCTCTGTTTCTTTCAGGATTTCTTGGAGAATATGGACGACATGGTGGTTGTGGATGAAATCGAGGATGAAGACGGAGCAGATGCTATAGGTACGTACCAGAACCAGTGTGATTTTAATTGATTTTAATATGATGTGAGTCTAAACCTGTGCTGCTGTCTCTTTTACAGATAACTCAGAGAAAGGGGTAAGTGTAATCAAATCCAAATACACTTTATTTATATAACACATTTTAGAAACAAAACCAAAGTGCCGGACATATAAAAATGACATAAACAAAACAATAAAAGGTGTACAACAAACCAGCAGTGGTGGAACGTGGAGAAGTAAAAGTGGTAAAGTACTGTACTCAAGTATATATTTTAGGTATCTGTACTTAAGTAAATTTTACAGTGGATACTTTTTACTTCACTGTATTTGAGAGCAGGTGTCTCTGCCTTCTACTCCACTACAGTTTGGAACAGGACTGAAAAGTAAAAGTACTTTTTTTTTTTTTTTTTTTTATATAGTTTGAGACCTGCTGAAAAAGCTGAGGGTTTATTTTTAACACATTTGTACTTTGAACAAACGAAAATATAATAAAGAAATAAAAACGACTAGGAGATAAAGGTCAATTTGAAGCTTTATTAGATCTCAAAATATACTCACATACTTTTAATACTCTTAAGTAGGAGTGTGCAAAAATATAAAAATCGACATGTTGTATCGTTGATGTAGGGGTGTACCGATATCGAAGTCTCACGATAAGATATTGTCACAGTATGAACCTCACGGTACGATATTTAAAGCTCACGATTAGGGATGCAACGATATTCAAATCTTTCGATATTTTCACAATATACATCTGACGGTACGATAATTATTACAGTATTTTGTAGAGCCTAACAAAACTGTTAATATGCTACTATTTCCTCTTAAAATGACTTAATCTACAAGAAGAACTGTTATTTCTTCTTGTTGTCTGCACTGAAATGGAGCAAAGGATCATGGTCTATGTAGTTCCCTCTGTCTTTTTTTTTTAGCTATTGCTGCACCATAACTCTTAATTTAAGCGAAGAGACTTGTAATTCAAAATATTGTGATGGTCCACGATACGATATCACAAAATTTTGGTTATTGTTACATTACTATTTTAATATGATGATACAGTATCGATATCGTGGGCTGCTGTATCGATATATCTCCCCAAGAGTATTTTTTGGCATATTTTGCTCAATTGTTTTGTTGCAGCGCTACAGTTTTGTTGTTTGTTCCGAGGAAGGAAACTCATTTATGCGACACATTTGACATTCAGTAGTTTAACAGAGACTTTTAGTTTCACAGCCACGATTTAGCCTTTATTTTTTTATTGAACCGTAGCGAATCGATTTGAAATATATCGTATCGAATCGAAAGCTCAGTGTATTCAGGTATGTATCGTCTCGGCAACTTCTTAATGAGACCCAGCTCTACTCTTAAAGTATATTTTTAAATGGGTACTTTAGCACTTTTACTTGGGTAAATTTTGTCATGTGATACTTTTATTTATTTACTTTTACTTTTATTTTTTATTGCTCCAGTATCTGCACTTTTAACAAAACTTGAGGACTTCTTCCAGCACTGTAAACCGGTCAAGCCAAGTCAAATAAAAACAAACCTATAAAATAGCAATAAATAAACAAAATCAATAGAATAATATTCAGATTAAACTAAAAATAAAGATAAAAGTGTGTCATTATTCCCTGTTTGTTTCCGTGGTGTGTACAGGGGATGCGTGTGGTGCTGGTTATGGGTTTTAAAAAAGGATACAACCATCTGAACGAGCTCATGCAGCTGGCGCAGCCCTTCGGAAAAGTGGTGCGCCACCTGGTGCTCAACATGCAACACAAGGTCTGCTCGTCGTCTCCTCCTCCTCTCTATCACACCTGCAATCTCTCCTCCTCCTCTTCTCTCCATCTCCTCTGCCGCTTCTTTACGTCTCCTCATCCTCTTGTCTCTCCTCTTTTTCTTCTATAGCTTCTCTTGTCTTTATCTTTATCCTCTTCTCTCTATCCCCTTCCTCTTCTATTTCTGCCTCTTCCTTTCTCCTTCTCGTCTTCTATCTCCTCCTCTTTTCTCTATCTCCTCTTCTTCTAACACTTCCCCTCATCCCCGCTCCTCGTCTTCTCTCCCAACACCCCTTCTCATCTCATTCTTTCCTAACTCCTCCTCTAGTTTCCTTTCTTTGTCTCTTCTCTAACTCCTCCTCTTGACTCCTTTCTTCATCTCCTTCTCTCCTAACTCCTCCTCTGGTTTCCTAACTCCGACTCTTGCCTCATCTTCTCGTCTCCTCTCTCCTAACGCCTTTCTTCTCCTCTTCTCTCCTAACTCCTCCTCTCTCTCCTCCTTTCCTCGCCCCCTCTCTCCTAACACCTCCTCTCGCTTCCTCTTCTTATCTCCTTCTCTCCTAACGCCTCCTTTGTCCTCGTTTCCTCGTCTCCTTCTCTCCTAACTCCTCTTGTCTTCTCTTCTCATCTCCTCTCCTAACACCTCTACTCTCCTTCTGTCCTTGTCTACTTCTCTCCTAACTCCT